CAACAATTTAATGTTTGAATGATGATGAAGTTCAATAGCTGATATGGTGAAATTTTGAAGTCAGATGCACATCTGTGTACTATCTAATCAATGGCAAGTATAGGTAGATGCAACCCACGTAGGTGATGACGACAGGATGTATGGATGTCATATAAAAATGTTTAATCTGCTCCCTGAATTGCAATGTGAAACCAACAAAAAACTAGTTTGGACTCTCAGGTTTGAAAACTGAAGCAAGTGTCGTGATGATGCATCCGGATCCACATAGTAGCTTGAATTGAGTTGTAGCTGTAGTAGCTGATGTTCTCAAAAAGTCAAGTTTGAACAAACACATTTCATTCGATATGAATTTGATATTTTACCATATCAGAATCAGCTTTATTGGCCATGTATGCATAGACATACAAAGAATTTGACTCTGGTTTTTCCATTGTTCTCAATGTACAAATAGACAAATAAACAAAAAAAAAAACAAGGGCAACAAAGCAGAATAAGGAGCTTAAACATTTAACAATCATGTACAAATATGAATATTAATATATATACAAATATATATATACAAATTATGGACAAAGTATGGACATAAAAACACAACGACAGTGGAATTGAGAAATAGTGCAATGGTGCAGAGTGCAAAGATGCTTGAATACATATGATAAGATTGACGCAGGATACTTTATATACATGAGGTGAGGTAAATAGAGTCAGACCCAACATTCTTCTGAACAGTCCCTCTCAGATGCTTCAGAGATGTGATTATCTATCTAATCAGTCTAGTTTTGTTTGCTAGTGTTATTCTCCATTTTTACTGATTAGCTTAGTTTACTGATCAACAGGGGACAACACATGTCAAGAGTACACTGAGCACCCTTCTATCAACAAACAATACTTTCATCCTTTATAGTCAAACACTGACATTTCTGTTTAACATAGAGAATAAATAATAGTTTATAATAAAGCTAAAATAGTAATTTAAACATCATTCAAAACTGTTATTTCACATAGGGGTAGTAGAGAGTTGGCGCCTGTGTAGTTAGTTGTACCAAAAGACCATTATTTTCAGATATAGCTTTTCTCAGAAGGGTTTTTTGAAAAGCACACATTCTTATCAGAAATAACACAAGCTCAGTGTGAAAGGAGCTGTGATAACATCGATGTGTTCTTTGTTAATCCAGAAGCAGTTGTTCTAATTAGTTCTAAACCCAGACTGAACAAATCCATCCAGTCTCCGTGGCCTGTTGAGAAGAAAGCCTTCAGACATAAATACATAATTCATTTTAGTCCCTCAGTGCTTAAAGAACCACCCGTCAGTGCAAAGACGTACTTGCGGGCAAGTGAAAGTGGAGGTGCTCTCAGGAACAGTTCAGGCTCTTGGTGTCAGGAACATCATCAGGCGTCTGTGCTGTTGAATATTCAGTAAAAATCCTCTTGGTGCAGGGTTATATTCTCTCTCACAGGCCATGTGCCAACACAAGGAAGCAAGTGAGATTTTTACAAGTTGGTGTTGTTATCAGCAGCAGCATCTGTGCTTCTCTAATTAGAGTTAAATGACCTCATATAATAGAGCAATTAGTTAACGATACAAAGCCGTCCTCCCTCCACAAACAGCCTGCTGCAGCCCCAACACGCTTTTTAAAAAATATCTGTTGTCCCCATCCATAGTGGGTGTGTGTGTGATCAGTCTCGCCCTCTCTCTCCTCTCACAAATTTTTATTTCTTCTCCTCTTCAGAGCTTTGTGTGTGTGTGTGTGTGTTTGTGTGTTAGAGTAACTCTAAAATAGATGATCTCTTGTTGCACAATGTATTCACTCTGAATGTCTATGACAATTAGTCGTCACAAAGAAACTACAGCATGAATTCTCACCACCATCCCCGGAGTGCATGTGTTTAACTCTGAAAACACACAGCCCACATGGTGTTTGTCCAAAATGAAGCACTGCTTTATAATTGTTGTTGGTTTTGTATTGCTGTTGAACACAAGGTCACGTCTGCAGCAAGTGGGTCCCTGCAGAAGATGACTCACAAATAGTGTGCCCCACTTGTGTTAAGGTGGAAGTATACTGTGTGTCACAGTGTGCTGCAGTATAAGTGCCAGCAGGTATAGGAAAGAATTCATAGTGCATCAATATTGAAGACCCTTTCCCCACCTTTCAGTAAGGAATATTGTGAATGGGCAAATTGAGCGTCCTTCAAAAGAAGTGCTGGAGCTTCTGCTATAGCTGCTCTGGGCAAACATATCACCTCAACACCAGAGTACTAGATCATACCCAGTTCTACCCTACATAAAGTGGAAGGGAACAGGTTTTCATTGTCCTATAAACTAAGCTAATACCTTACCATTACAGCAGAAGTCATCACGTTAACGTGTTTCGTTTTCTTTTTGGTAGAGAACAATTGTAGTGAGTCAAATGGCTTCGCTAAATCACAATGTGTTTTTCGTGTTTTTGTAAACAAGAGGATTAATGAGCCTTTTTTCCCTTTTATTCCTCCATGATTTTGTCTTCACAATCAGCTTCAGAGGTTTGTGGGAGATAAGCTCAGTCTGAACTGACCAATCACATTTCATTAGGCCTCAACATGGTAACTGCCTTGTTGCCATAGTGCTGATGTGTTGCTAGATTTCTGAGGACCTGTACATTAGAGTGTCTGTCCAAACCTGATTGAGCCACAGAGAAAATTAGCCGAGCCCAACCAAAATCTGGCGTTCTGCCCGATATTTTCCCAAATTGCAGGAAAGGGCAGCTTAAAATAATGAGACCAGAACTCGAACTTTTTTCAAAACTCTGCCCAAATTGATGGGTCCCAACGGGTCATGATAAGCCCGGGGCAGGTCATTCACACTCTAATGTATCATCTACAACCTACATTATAGCTAAAGAAGCCACATGTGAAGTTAGTTACATGTTACTTAGTGTGGAGGAATCTACTTTTAAATTGTAGCTGGTGACACAAGAAGCTCATTTTCTATGGAGGTTACAGCAACGCTAAACTTTTAGGTTATAAAAAGTAGCAAGCTTCACAACACATTACCTCAGAAAACTAGCCAAGCGTCTACTGTGAAGTAATACAATCAATAAAACCATGAATCATCCTGGAATATTTTTTATCACAAAGTAAATGTATTTGGTCGGAATGGATGTATGTTTTTGATGGGCACCTTTTTAGCATCAGCATGTGACTGTTGGGCCCCACCTGGCATAGGAGTTTGACAGAATGGATCAGTGTAGTGTTCAGTCGAGCTGCTATACTCATATACTTATACTGCTCATGCCTGTAAATGTTACATAAATAAAAAAAAGCCAAACTACCCTCTAAGCTGAGGGGCAATGTCATTAAAATAGTAGCATAGATGCATGTAGCATGACTACTCCCTGGTAGTAACTGATACTAGGTAACTAAACATTTTCCCAAATAACATCATGATAAATGAACCCTTGTAATATCCGATGGGTAATCAACGGCTCTAAATAAGGAATAGTAAGTAGCAGCCTATGTGCGATTGTTCCTCCTCAACAATAATTTGTCTGACTTCAATGTGTCACTGCAGGACTATTTGTTGAGAGCACTTGTTTTCATTGCCCTCACTACTTCCTCTGAGCACCCTGAATAGGGCGGGTATATGGTAATGATTCTTTTATTGGATCCCCTGTGAGATTCTAATCCTCTGAATTGATAGACAAATGAATGGCATCCTGTCTGTGTTGCTCATCTTGTGTTAAACATAACTGGAGGGCCTCCACTCAAGCGGCAGTGGTCATTGTTCCCGGCTATCAAACACCCATTAGGCCGGGCGCCAATTGCCTGTCAACTTTTGACACGTCCCGCACCACATCCAGTCACTAGAATTCAACGCTGAGTGACACGCTGAAAGACGGTGTGTCGTTCTGCCGCATGAGTGATGTTTTTATTGATCTCTCAATCGCGCCCCTTGTTGTGGACGCACTACCTTTCCTCATTGTGCGTTCACTTCCTCGCTTTCTCCTCGCTCTCTTTGTCGTGGATAACCATTAGCCATATGGTGGCATACAGAGACAACAATGCGTGCAACAAAACAGAGGCTCAGGAGGGAAGCGCTTGAATTTGAAAGGGCGTAACTCTGTGAACACGTCGCGGACGAGGCGAAGGAGGAGGGCTCTGGCTCGGTCGGCCTCTCTGTGTGACACGGCAAGGGGGTTGTAGGGAGTTGGGGGGGGGGGGGTGCATTGGCAATGTCAGGATGTAGAGACGGACGAGGATTTGGAAGAGTCAAGTGCCGCTGAAAGGGAAGTTGTTGGTGGTCTGCAGAGTTGCGGCAGCTGCCTCTGAAAACAAACGGAAGAAATAAGAGAGACAGAGAGGTGTGGAGGGGGGATGAGGAGGGAGGGGGGTCGTACAGGCCAGTCCAGTGGAAGGCGTGCAGGCTCCTCACTTTTTTTGTCTCCTCACTTTAATCTGTTGGGAGAAAGAGTGAGGGAGAGAGAGAGCTTGGCTGTAGCCCGCGGGTGCACCAGACCTCCCCCATTTTACTCGGGCCAGCTAAAGTGGAAGTTCAACACCCCCCCATCCCCTCCGCCACCACCATCGGTCCTCCTCTCTCCTCGCTTACTCGCTCTGTATTCAGCCTAGGTGCTGGAGTGACAATGAGCCATTCATTGTGGAGGTAGAGGGAAAAGACTGTGGATCTCTCCTGTGTCTTTTTTGGGAGATGGTGGGAGCTGGGGAGAAAAGAAGGGAGGCGTACGACGGAGGAGAAGGAGGAGGAAGGGTGCATATTCCTGAAATTCGACAGAAAAAGGGGCAAGTAAGAGAAAGTACAAGAGTGAGAGGAGAGAAGGAGGGAGGGGTGAGTAAAAAAAGTAAGAGTGCAAGGGAGGGAGGGATGGAGGGGAGGCAGAGCTGGAATCACAGAAGGATGGGAGGGGGAGAGAGAGAGTGGGGAGAGAGAGAGTGGGCTACCATGCCGAATGAGCAAGAGAGGCGGAGAGGAAGCAGAACTCCATCAGATGAAATGAGGTGAAAGTAATTCAGGCATTAATCAAGCCAGGGCAAAAGGGAGGGTATACTGTGTTTTCTCCCCCCTCTTTCGCTTCGGAACTGAAAGGCAAGGTGTGAATGAAGGAGCCCACAGTGGCCAGCAGAGAAGCACCACTGGGTCACAGCATCAAATCATGTCTGAGTCGAACACCATTGCTGCTTCCACAGCAGATCAGGTCAGTTCAAGCTGTCATGTTGTTTTTGTGTTAATCTGTTTTTGTTTGTTTCATTTTCTTGTAAACTTGTATCCGAGGCCAGCATGCTTGGTTGCGCTTCACACAGACTCAAGCAATGGGATCTTGCTAGAGGACTAAGAAGAAAAAACGAGCCGTACCCCAAGTTCCGGTCAGATGTATATCATCTTTAGATCCAAATTCGGAAGTAGTTAGGGGGAGTTTCTAAGAGCAACTGGGTGAGTGTGTGTTTCTTGGACTATCAAAGCAACGATTGTTTTGCCCGGAGCTGCCTGGACAACGGTACAGGGTCCTGAAAGAATTGAATTCATCAAGACGAGCTATTGTCTACGCCGCCTTATTTTTCAGTGATCATTCAAGGGGGTCTGTGACGACTCAATACCCCCCACACCACGTGAGGAGGGGGACGCAGCTCTTTAAAAACCTGACCACGTGTGGTGGCCCTGAAAAGTTTTTATAAGTAATTGCAGTGGGAAGTCCGGGCAGCACTGTGAGAGATGGGGTTGGTAAGGAAGTGGGCTGGTCCGCCGTGTGTGTGAAAGAGAGTGACAGAGGAGAAAAGCGGTAGTGTCCAGAAAAGGCAGATATTTATGCCCCCCCATCCCCTCTCCTTCCAGCCCCGACACCCCTCCCCTCCACAAGCTGCTTTAATCTCACACTTTGGCAAATACATCCTTGGCTCAGCTTTCGTCATTTTACTGTCAAATTACTTTGAAACAATTAAATCATTAAGTTTGTTTAAGATATTACAGCTTTTTTCATTATAGCAGGTAAAGTGTGTGTGTGTAGGAGTGTGTACGTGTGTGTAGGTGTGTGTACATCCGACCTTGCTGCCGGCTTATGTTGTTGGCCAAGTCCTTGTCTCCTGTTTCTGATTGCTTCTTTTGAGGCTGAGTCAGCTTGCTATTGTTCTGTTGGCAAATGCACACACTCACACACACACACACACACACACACACACATACACACACACACACCTGCAAGCATATGCACAAACATTTGAGTTTATACTTTCACAAATGCGTCGCACATGCCAAAACAACACCTGCTCAGATTGCTGACATAGAATTCGATAACAGAATTTTGTTATAGGTACAACATTGGAAAAGATAATCAGAGCTGCATGTGTGTATGTGAGAGAAAATAGGATAATTGAAGTATTCTTATATATGGCGTTCAAAAGTACCTAAATAATAAGAATTTAAGACTTTGTCAACTGCAGATATGTTGCGTGTGTGTCTGTGTGACAGCCCTACAACAGTCCACTTGTTCCTCCCATCATTCTGGATATTTTAGGTTTTTTATATTATCTTATTTCTCCCAAAAGTTTGACTGACAGGACTAAACTTCTTAACAGGTTGACAACAGTTGAAACTGTGGTCATTCAGTGTCTTTCCTACCAAAAAACACTTGTAATATCTTTATGATACTACTACTGTTAGTTGTCTGTAGTCTCAAGGGTTAGAAATCACAATGTCACTGATACATATTGAGTAAATTATTATTATTATAATTATTGTGCCACTCCTTGTATTGTCAGTATTTGTCTACTTATAGATTAAAAACAAGAAAACAATTTATGCCATGAAATTGCAGTCGTGCCGCTGTTCATTGCTTGTTTCACCCAGTTTTTCCTCAGTGGTAATGGAGTGGTAATCAGGAGGTTCAGCAGAAATCCCTGTAGCTTGGTACAGTTCCAGGCTGATTACTGTGGCTTGACTCAGGTGCGGACTGAGCTGATAACGCTCAGCGCTCGCAATCTCTGCTCATTCCATCACACACACACACACACACACTAATCTTGTATTTCTGTCTGTGCAAGGACACTTATTGACAACATGCATTCCCTAGTCACTTACTCAAACTGTCACCATCACAACTAAATACTTAATCCCGGACCGTAGCATAAAACCTCACCAGAAGTGGTTTGGGGAGAAATCAGGGCGATGCTGCCCCCTTTAAACCAAATTGACTAAAAAATTATCCCCCTTAAAAAACCTGTCAACTCTGCCATCCCCTCTCAGGCAGCCCCTCATCTCCTATGTGAGAGAGTACATGTGAGCATGATACAGTTAACACTGCTTACTAAATCATGGGATTCGCAGTATGTATTGAAGAGTTGAACCGAACGGCATTTAAAAGAACAGGAAGACAGATCTCCCCCCACAAACACCCTGACTGTCACAGTCAGATTGATCAACAGCAGCACCAGGAAATAGCCTACCTGCGTTGGTGGCCGTTTGTAAAGATTTTACTGTCTTCAGCAGGCAGGCAGGATTCAGCATAAACTCATTATTGTTTTCACTGTGCGTGTTCACTCAACAAGCATACCGTTCTCTACAGCAGGGGTGTTGTGCCCCACAACTGCATTGTTGCATTCTTTTGTTATTTTGCATGCGCGCACACACACACACACACACACACACACACAAACAGACCGATACCATCCCCCTGGTAAAAACTAACAAACAGCTGCTGCCAAAAGTTAATTCTAACCGGAACCCTAAAACCAAATCTTAACTGAAATAGCCAGAAACAGTCTTTTAGTTAAAAAACTTTGTTTAGAAAGTTGATGCTCAGGGCTGGATGGCAGGAGAATGAGACGGGCAGAAGCCCAGGATGGATGCCAAAGTCAGGGCAAAGTGAGAACAGGATCCAGGACAGGTGAACCAGGGAGCTGGATGAGGCTGAGTCCAGAATTGGCAAACGAGAATGATGCTGCAGGCACAAAGAAACAGAAGCGGGCAAAGTTCCAAAAACCAGGCCGGGTTCCTTGAGCAAAATGTTGATTGGAGCATTTTACCACATATATAGCAGCAAGATACACAGCTACAATCCAACACTGAGAGAGGGACAGTGGAGACAAATGACACCAGGGGAAATGAGCACACTTGAAACACAAGGAGAAGAAGGAAGAAAGTTTTCAGAAAAAAGGGGCAGGCCAATAAAATACTGATTAAAAACAAACCTCCTATCATGTACAGATGTTTCTGTTTTTAGAAAATATTGCTAAATTGTCAAGCTAACATAAGACTACACATAAAATGTAGATTTCCCCCATTCTCATTTTATATAAACTTGAAAAATTGCCAGGTCTTAGAGACCATATGATTTACTGAAACCAAAAAAAGATGCATACAGTTTCTTTTCAAGATGACTTTGAGGTCACAGACAGTTCGAACTTGATAATTGATCCACCGGGTAATAGTATGTTAAGTGTATTATTCCTGTATTGCTTCCAACATTTTATTTTAATTAGAATAAAAATGTGTGGGCACCCTGTGGACTCTTGTTTCCATTAGCACCTCCAAACAAGCGTTTCCGTGATCTGTCACTTATCCACAGATACTTCTTCATTTTCTTAATTCACCCAATATCATGTCTTGAAAGTAGCTTTCTGAAATAAAAACTATAAGTCCAAGTTCATTCAAAGACCCTTCCTTAATTTCCTCTGTTGTTACATGAGTCACATCTCTCCTCTCAGTGGCAGACAGACCTCTCCGTGTTGTGACGACAGTCTGGGGTCATGTGTGATTTCAAGGCATGCTCGACTAATCATTGCAGTAATAAGGAGTTCAGATGGGTCTGATAATTGGAAAGCGTTGATTGGCTCTGACATCCTGAAAGGAACGATCAGATCCGATACCATTTCCATATCCAGACAACAGCTCTGATTGCTCTGCCATTGCTTTGACTTCTTGTGGTTTGTAGAAATTATACAGGATTTTATCATTTTCAAGCAGATATTTGAAAATTATGAGTTTTAAACTGTTAAATGCTTTTTGAAGAATTTTCCGTTCTAGCCGATCAGTACTCGTTTGACAACTCAAAGAAAATGACTCACTTTAACAGACTGACCCAAATTATTGCTTTGTATATAAGCAGATTTTCTGGATCACAGGGTGTCGTGCCAAGAAGCTAATGGGGCCTGTTGTGTAGAAAAGTACAAATTCTTCCAGTACAGTGTACAGGCATTCATCCAGGGCACCGCTGTACTCCAACACCTACCTTTTCTTTTTATGTCTCTTATATGAATGTATGTGGACATATTTATCCTATCAGCCCTGCAGGCTGTCAGTTTCAGTGCCTGGTAAGCAGGGTGAGTCTAAAGTTCTAATTGCAGATACTGTTGGTTTTGACAGGGGTAATAAAAATAACATTTTATCAGGAATGTGTCATGAAACAGAATTGGCTGATCGTGGATGTCATATATAATGTTATGGCAGCTGCTAATATGCAGTTCAGTACATTACAATTAGTGTAGGGAGCCAGCAGGGGCCCACACACACACTCGCACACAAACTCTGCCCATCTGGGGGCAGGTGTTGCAGTTTATGGAGCGGAAGTGCAAAGTAGCCGTGTTTACTCACTGCACCAAGGCTCAGCAAGCAAGGGAACAGACACATGTGGAAAAGAGAGTCAGAAATAGATGTGCATGTGCGTCTGTTTGTGTGTGTGTGTGTGTGCGCGCCCCTTGTCCATCTCCCTGTGGTGGCTCTAACCTTTAGACTCCTTCTGACTTCACTAAGTCAAGCTTGCGGGCACACAGCTGCCTGCCAGAAGCACACATTCGTACCACACACAGCAAACTGAGCATACACTCGTGGTTGTGTGGATAGTTGCAAAGTTTGGCGGATAAATTGGAGGAATTAATGGCTGATAATGGCTGACAGGAGGGGTGGATGAGAAGCTGACCAGCAGACTTTAGCTCGCCGAGAGGAGAGGGGAGGGCAGCTGAGGGGAAGGATGAAGGAGTGGAGGGAAATTATACTGATCTGCACATAAATGCACATGGATATGCAAGCCAAGGGTGAAAAACTGCTGTTTATAGCATTTGCTATTATTTTCCCCATTTGAATCCTATATGACCAATTTGCTATAGCTACTGTAAATCCTCAATCTTTCTCATCAAAGAAACACAGGAGTCTCCTGGATACTTTAACAGAAATACAGGGTTATGTTGTGACTATATGTTTGGAATG